CTGCTCCGAAAGCGAAGAAGAAGCTCTTGTCGGGCTGCTCCTCCAGCAGCGCTCTGACGCGGCGGCCCATGCGCTCGTTACGCGTGTAGATCAGCTCCTGTCTGAAGTAGCGCTCGATCTCCTGCGCCGTCACCTGCTCGCTCGCCGGCAGCGTCGCGTTCTTGAAGCTCGGCACCTGGACGCAAATCACAGAGATATCGCTGCAGTCTAGAAAAACAGCTGTTTTTACAGTTTTTCTCGATTGCTAACACACTATTTGATTGCAATTTTAAAAACTTCATTGTCCCCCCTTAGGGGTAATTTGTTCCGCAGCATGATAGATTTTGTATTTACACCACATACAAGACAGACAATACACAACATTACAGTTTTTCTCGATTGCTAACACACTATGGCCCGGTTTCACAGACAGGGCTTAAACTAAGCCAGGATTAGGCCAATAGTTCAATTAGGACATTTAAGTAATTTTTATGAACGTACTTAGAAAAAAAACATTACTGGTGTGTAGTGTTGGGGGTAACACATTTTCTCAGAAGACTAAGAAACTGTTATAGTATAACAAATAAGGATATTACCAATACTGTAATGCAACTTGGCAGAGGATGCTGCATTTATTTATTTACAGTAACTGAAAGTATATTTCAATCTGTGTTCACTGTATATCCTGTTGCTTGGTTTTTTAACTTTTCTCTTCTAGTGCTTTTCATCTACCGTAAGATCACTTTACAGTAGTGTAGTGAAAGTAAACTTTTCTTACAGTTTAATGCAGAATTTTACTGTATCTGCACCGCTCTATTTATGCTGAGTACTGTAACAGATATTGACCTGCAAAATGTCTCCTGCTTCCCAAAAGCAGGTTTTTGTAACAGTGTTTTGAACTGATCTCACTGGTGTTCTCTAGTCAGGAAAATACTCTGTGTGTCATCTGAGGCCAAAGCTTGAGTCTGACCAAAGAGTTTTTGACTAAACTGTTTGATTTTGAGCTGGAAGTTTGCACACGTTGGTGTGTAGTTTTGAGATTTGTGTTTATAGTTGTGAGAAAATGGTGAATTGTGTGCTAGCAATCGAGAAAAACTGTAATAGCACATTAAGAAAAACAAAATTAAAAACTACCTCTTCCTACAAACAAACAATTCACCATTTTCTAATGAAATGAGATCTGAAGAATGAATGCTGTATCAGATGCAGGTAATCACACTCGCTCAGTCCATCTCTCTCTCATAACACTGTACTATACACTGCTTTAATACAGTAATACAATAAGCTTTCAATGAAGCAACTCAACTCGTCCATTCGTTACGAGTTCTAAAGTAATGTTTTGTAATTAGTAACGGAGCTGGGCTCAGCTGTTAAACTCAAACTGAGATTTGAATCTGTAGTGGAAGGACGTATTCTGCACAAAAGAGGGTTTTTAAAGACACTCCGTTGTTATTTTGTTTATGTATTTACACACTCGTGCCGTCGAACTGTTGTATAAGTGCAATATCAAAACAAATCTTTTCATAGGATTAAACTGAGAGGTAAAGTGTCCTGGAGGACTACATGCTCTGTGACTCTATTGAGTCAGACTGAATGTGGCGTGACAGGACCTCAGTACCTGCGAGGTGTCGTGGTTGAAGATGATGGAGTTGAGGTCTCCACAGTTGTAGTGCTTGATCAGGTGCTCTGTGGTGTAAGGCACCTGCAGGCCCCCGGCGCGGAGACTCTCCTGCTGCAGCAACGTCTGATTCAGAGCAAAGACCACCTGAAACACAAACCAGAGCTTTAGTGTTCATCCTGCACACCTCCCAGAGAACCTCTGCCATCATGCTGCCCAAACCTGCACGACTGACTGCTCTCTGTGAAGATATTCTGAAAATAAATATACAGTACTTATTTCATGCTAAGTATGCTACAAATACATTAATAAAAGGTCCTGCAATTGTACTTTTAGAATACTAAACTGGTATACTTCAAGTCTGCTAAATTGGAACAACCAATTTTGTACTTAATGCACTTTAATTGTGCAGAAGTACAATTAAGAATATACTTAGTATATTTGATTGTGCTAAAGTGGAACTATTGCAAGTATACTTCAGGTACATTTCGCATTTAAAGTCTGATATTATTCAAAGATCATACAATCCTCATCAAAAGTGACATTAAAACACATTTTAGGCTTAATATAAAGAAACGTGCATTGTGCACAAGTAGTATGCCAAGTAAAGTTTAATTTTAATTTTTATATCAGTAAGTCTCGAGTTGTCTGTCAGTAAATATGTTAATAGATTTGAACTATACTTAGTATGAAATAAATGTATTTTAATTATATAACTTTTTTACTAGGGTTGGTAACTCGACAGTTTTGGTTCCCGCTGACATTTTCAATTGTACTTTTTTGTCCATACAGTGGAAGTCAATGGGAACAGAAACAGGAACCAACAGTCTTGAATTTCATCTAAATATCTTATATTTAATAATTATGTCTTAACTTATATGTTACTTTGTGCTCCACAGAAGAAAGTCATACTGAGGGTGAGTAAATGATAACAGAATGATGATTTTTGGGTGAACTATCTTACGAGTAAAAGTACTTTAAAATCAATCCTAAATATAACTGGAAGCCAGTGTAAGGACCTGAGGACTGGTGTGATATGCTCAGATTTTCTGGTTCTAGTCAGAATCCTGGCAGCAGCGTTCTGGATGAGCTGCAGCTATCTAATGGTCTTCTTGGGATCAGAAAGCCCGACCCAGTTTTGAGTCAAACGCAGCACTGAGATCTAGTAGTACCAGTGCTGATTATTTGCCAGAATCACAATTTAAGCAAATATCATTTATTATCTTTATGAGCGCTGTCTCTGTGCTGTGATGCGGTCGGAAACCAGATTGACTCCAAGTTGACTCCTTTTATACTGCAGGTTCTTTGTAGTCATGTATTCAGCCCAAGCAACCTTGCTGGGAGTGGTCTGCTGATGAACGACTGAACTTTAAGTCTTCGAAGTGTTTCAAAGAGTTCACTGAAATCCTTCTTAAGGAGTTCTGACTGCTCTTAGCTGCTGGCTGATACGATCCATGTTCAGTCACATTTGGGGATTCCTCACCCACATTCATTAATGCTTCAAATCTGTTCTCAAGGTGTATAGGGGGTGGTAGAATACCAGTGTTTGCAAGCCTTGTCATAGCCGTATCTGGGGTAGAGGATGCTACGGAAGCAATACAAGATACTCATGACAAGAACCACAATCCTTTGTAGAAGTCTGTGGCAGTTCATGCAGCAAGTAGACATTTTCTTTCTCTTCTGTTTGAGTGTAGGCAGCTGTGTTTTCCCGTCTCCGCAATGTAAGTTGCTGGCAGTGGGAGGCAAAGAGTCTTCTTTTTTGTAGTATTATTCCTGTCCCGAAAAGTTTTTAGTTTAGTGTCTGTGCCAAAAATGTGTTGTTTGAGCACTGTGCTGATCTGCTGAAGTTAAATTTTAAGAAAAATCTGAGGAAAGTGCATAACAACAAGTATGTTGTTGTGCTTCTACTTTATGCAGTAAAGTAAAAGCACAACAACATACACAAACATGTGTGGATCACAAATGCTGCACTTACACACAACTTTTTTAGAGGCTTGATCAGTATATGAGGACTAGTGCTAGTGAAGACAGACAAGAAGAAGTGTTTGTGTCTGACGCTCCTGAAGGAGGTTCTGCTGAAGCGTGAGTGAAACTCTCACAGATCAAAGGCTCCGCGGAGGAGAGTTTCTCTTAATTAGTTCTAGCTGTCGCTTTTTGTTGCTTCTGCTGCTGCAGCTCACCATTGTGTCACCATGAAATTCCCCAGTGTTTACACACACACACACACACACACACACGCACACACACACACACACACACACACATGCACTCACCTGACCCAGCTAATCAAGTCATTTAGGTTTATTTGAAAACTACATGGTATGTGTGTTGGGGCAGGGTTGGAATTAAACTCTGCAGGGCTATGGCCCTCCAGGATCTGAGTTAGACACCCCTGGTTTAGACTAGGGTGACCATACGTGCCATTTTCCCAGGACGCGCCCTGGCCATTTTGATGTCAAACACTGATCGGTCTGCACACGCAAACAAAGCCAAAACCTAGATATTTTAGGCAATATAGAAATCCTGGCCAGGACGCGTCCTGGGAAAATGGCACGTATGGTCACCCTAGTTTAGACTGATCACTCACAATAGTTCCTCTTCCAAACAAACAAGTGTATTTGCTCCCAACAGGAGACTCAATCATGTTTCCTCCACCTGTGAGCTCATAGCCAAATGCTGCAGATGAGTTTAAGAGTTTCACACACACACACACACACTCAAACTCTTTTCATCAGCGCCGGTAACACTCTCTGGCCCCGTCCGTCATTGTTTGAGGGGCTCGTCCCAGAGAGGAGGGCAAAGCCCAGCAGATGCCTTCTTGTCTGGGACAAAGGGCCCCCGTCGGCCGCTGGGCTCCCTGCGCTTTCATCCCGCGCTCATCAAAGCCTCCTGCTCTGCATTTGAAAGCGCGCTGGCTTTGTGCTGCTCACATTAGCCTATCGCCACCCCGCTAGCCTCCCAAACTCCCTCCATCTGCCGCGGCCAAAGCATCTTCAGCGGCGCAAAAGAGCCTTTCAGCCCCTTAAATTACGGCGCGGAGGAGGAGGAGGCGCTGAATGAAAGAGCCGGGCCTGAACGAATGCGTTGTGTCCGTTCTGTGGGTCACTGGCCACATTCACACGCGCGGGAACCAGAGAGCGTCCATATCAAAGCACAGCGGCCCTATGAAAGTCAATAATTCAGCTTTGTGATGGAAATCACCCGTTACGTTACGATGGATGCGCTGAAAACACTCCACAGAGCTGAAGAGTGTGTGATTTCTGCACCGAACACAATCACAGAAATAATAACGATGATTGAGTCCAAACAGGTTTCCCAAACACTCAAATCAGCTGAAAATCTGCGACAGGGCTCAAATAATATTAGTCTTAAGGTCCGTTCACACCGAAAACAATAACGATAACCATATTAGCGTCCACACCAATGCATGATATCGTTCTGTTTGTTGTAAGCATGTGCTGCTGTCGTCTTGTCGCTTTACAGTGTTTTACGATCGCTGGGACATATTTCTCAATACTTAGGTCAATTCTTCAGAACTCTTCAGACAGCGAGCACAACATCAGTCTCTGTGGGCTAAACTGCTTTGCTTTGGCACAAAATGCATTCATTGACGACATCTGTCAGATTACATGAATTCTTTTATGACTTCTGCACAAACGCCACCAAGACTTTATGTACTACACAAGCCAATTTGCACGTTTACATACTGTTTTCAAACCCTAGCACAGTACAAAAGCAAACATTGTATAATGCTACCTGTTGTTAGTGCTTTTTAGGTGGTTGTGTTATGAGTGATAAAGTGTGTATGTTTGCTAGTGTTATGGAAGAATGAGTTGATTTGAGACATAGTTTGAGGTAGTTTTAGTGCATTTTGAATGTGAGATGAACTGCTGTGTCGAGTTGAAAGATGGTTAGGAGAACTGTGTGAAGAGTTTTTAAAAGTGACTTTAGTATTGAGAAATGTGTTCTAGAGATTGTAAAAAAAACTGTAATGATTCAATGTTTTTATTGTTAATTCATTGCTGAAAGTGATTCTGACGATAACGTTCCTGTGTGTCGTTACTGATATAGTTGTGGTGTGGACTTCACTATTCTTTTAAACTCAGATCGATTTTTAAAACAATATGAATAACAATATTACAAAAAGTTGTGTTCTTGGTGTGAACAGGCATTTAGTCCTGAAAAATTACCAAACTTCCAAGACTGTCAGCACATACTCAGAATCAGAGTCATGAACAATTTGCTATTGAATCGATCAGATCAAAGTTGTAAAAGCATCAATAAACAAATGTCACCATTGGTGTGGATGATAAGAGTTATCGTTATAGCTATATAAACTCTATGGTTATATATATGAATGCCACACACATCTGCGTTTACAGTCTGTTCAGTCTTCAGATATCTATGTTCTGGCTTTAATCGTAGATGTGAAGTGGATGTGTGCCGCTGTGATTGAGGAGCGTCTGTCTGTGAGTGATGGTCCCGTGCTAATGGACGCCGTTAACGGCACAAACTCTTTCTCATGACATCATCCGCACTCTGTTTCCCACCAGCTAAGAACACAAACAAAGCCAGAGCTCGACAGCGCTCAGTACGGCCGCAGGATTTGTGAATGGACTCTGATAAACTGGGAAACTTTCCCACGATGCCCTGCCTGCGCATTACTCCAGCAGACGAGTAACGTGACGCGTAACGCTGAGCTTCAGATGCACACGCTTAACCCAGACTCACACTAATTCAGAACAGAGCCGCTGTGTGTGAGTGTGAGTGAGTGTGTGTGTGAGTGTGTGTGTGTGTGTGAGAGTCAGTGAGTGTGAGTGTGAGTGTGTGTGTGAGTGTGTGTGTGAGTGTGTGTGTGTGTGAGAGTCAGTGAGTGTGAGTGTGAGTGTGTGTGTGAGTGTGTGTGTGAGTGTGTGTGTGTGTGAGAGTCAGTGAGTGTGAGTGTGAGTGTGTGTGTGAGTGTGTGTGTGAGTGTGTGTGTGTGTGAGAGTCAGTGAGTGTGAGTGTGAGTGTGTGTGTGAGTGTGTGTGTGAGTGTGTGTGTGTGTGAGAGTCAGTGAGTGTGAGTGTGAGTGTGTGTGTGAGTGTGTGTGTGAGTGTGTGTGTGTGTGAGAGTCAGTGAGTGTGAGTGTGAGTGTGTGTGTGAGT